ACAACCTCTCTGAACCTATTCATAATCCACTCAAGAGGCCAAGCAAACACACTTAGATGCTTTTCGATCTTGGCCACATTGTTTTCCCTACTAAAATATGAGAGGACTTCCTGCTAGGAATGAGTTAGAGCAGGGACTGCATGTCCCAAGATGCTCTCCAAAGCCACAGGGATTCCTCTATGCAGAACAGTGGGAGGGGCAAGGAAAGGGCTAGGATTTTTCATTGGGTCCATCTTTCCCTGGAACAGGTTTACTTAACACCTCTGGACTGCAACATCTGCGGCACAAAACTATTTTTCTTACAACACAGAAGTTACAGCTTTAGGTAATTTGCCCAACAAAAGAAGGTCAAACCAAATTATCAAAAGGTCATCACTGTTTATTAACACAACAAATAACTAGGATAACTTTGGTGGTGTGACCTACAACGCACATTTAAACTATAAGCTCACTAGTTGCACCTTGGTATGCAATGATAAAATCCTGGTGTGGTTCTGTGAAATTGCTGGATAACAGGGAGCCATTTCGAGCCTGCTGAAATGTGCCTCCCGCTATTTTAGTCGGGACGCACCATCCAGCCCCCTACAGGATGGCATCTTTGCATCTGCACAGAGGGAATACCCGAGGATTTGCCTCACCATTAATTCAGGTGCACAATTTGTGGGGAAAGAAGCGGTGATCACACAAATAAGAGGGCAACGTGACAAACAGCCTGAGCTCCCTTTGTGGCTAATTGCCAAAGCTGAAAAGTCTCAACTGCATTTCAAGATTCATGTGGCAGACGGATATCTGGATAATGAACTGCACTGCCACCAGGCACCACCAAAAAGGGATGACATTTTTGTTTTAGTTCTGTACACTTTACCAGGCTGATGGTTCATTCTATTACAACCTATGGCCAAACTGAGCCTTTTGCTCATCTGTTTTGAATCTAAACGCCTTTGGATGGAGAGACTGGGACAGGATTGGGAAAACAGAATGGAATTCATGGAGCACCAGGGGATTGGGAAGAAGAGAGCTATGTGTGCACACAGAGAAGAAAACTCAGGAACAACCTGTAAGAAACTATCCTGAAAATAAACCAAGGAATTGGAAGAAGGGAAATATAATTCAGCTGTTAAAAATGTAACACGTTTATGGGTGGGAGGCATTCTCAAGAAAATTCTTACCATCTGCATGGGATTGCAAAAATTGGCATCCTATTTCCCCAAACAGGGGGAGCTATAAAGTGCTTAGATCTAAAATGCTTAGGGAAAATAAAGATGTAAAAGTATGACCTTTGGCAAACTGTCACCCCAAGACTGTAGCCTTAAGATGGTTCCACAAGATTTTAGTTTTTTATAATAGCATCCTCTAGCAATTGTCTAAGAACAAAGGGAGAGTATTTATTCAGGTTAACCAAGTGAGTGACTCAGGGATAGAGATGTAAAATTTCCGGAAATTTTGAAGCTTGGAAAAAAACCGGTTTTTCCCCAGTTTTTTTGGGGGGGAAACGGAAATTTTCGGAAAAATTGGAAAAAAATGCTACATTAGCATTTCTTTGGTCTTTTCTAGATTGAAAGTCATTCTGTTACTTTAGGAACATAAAATATGACTATGGACATTTTTACTTGGCATGAAATTATCACAACTAGCATATTAAAAATATAGTGTATCGAAACAATTACTACAAACAAAATACCCATTCACATCCAAAAACAAAACTGAAAGTTTTTTATTTTCTTCTGACAATCGCACCTCCTAAAGGAAGAAATGCATCTTGTTCTTGCATTGGAGGGTTCAGTTTGTAACCTAGGACTTGCTTGTCCTCAGTGCACAGAAATTAGATCAATCTGATACTATATATATTTTTTAGAAATGATTTGGAAAATATTTGAACACCTTGTCTTAAAATATTTTATTCATCATGTTAAAATAAAATGTTCCGTAATCAATTTTTTTCTTTTCTTTTTTCAATTTTTCGGAAAAAAACAAAAAAGGCTTCAGGAAAAAAACTGGTTTTTTCCCCGAATGTTTCCGGTTTTTTTCCCGGGCCTTCACATCTCTACTCAGGGAACCTGTCAGTCCATTCCAGGTCCACCTGAAGAACTCCCTATATGGACTTTATGTTTGGATTACATATTAAGTGATGTTGATTTGGAATGGTTAACTCTGTCCACTTTGCTTCCAAGAGTCACTGACTGGTTACGTCCCGTTTGCACAATCAGACAAAATGATTTTTTAAAAACTCTAAAAGTAACTACATCACTGCCAGTGGGGCAGTGAAAAGTCTCAACTAGCACAAATGGCTTTCAACGGGGGGAGGGGGGGGAGACCATCAAGGCCTCTATAGCCTGTTTGTTAGCCCTGTGAGGTAACTGATTAACTGCTGCATGGCGAAGGTTGTTGGGCTTGGTGGGCCACTGGTCTGATCCAACAGGGCTCATTTTCTATTCTTCTTCATGACACCCAACACAGATTCTGAAACCTGAGCTTCAAGACTACTGCTGAAAAGGGTTTTCAGTGAAACCCCTATAGATCCAGCCCCACCTAAGCAGAGATCCCATTTTCATAATATTCTAGTTTTGTGAGCCCTTTCAAACACTCCGCTAAACGGGGCAGGTGTTAACTCTCTATCATGAGCACACGTTCTTGAAAGCCAAGCTTGGCATAGGCGGAAAGCATCTTGCAAATAGAGGTCCTGTGGTACTTAAGGACTAACAACATGTATTCTGAAGAACAAGGGCACACACTTCTTCAGATACAGAGTGTGCATGCACACAAAGGCTTATACCGTGAATAAAACTTTGTTGGTCTTAAAGGTGCCGCTGGACTCGAATTTTGTTCTGCTGCTTCAGACCAACACGGCTGCCCCACCTTATCAATCAACATTTATTTTAGTATGAGCTTCCATGAGACAGAGCTCCCTTCTTCAAATAACCAGCTCTGTTTCACACAAGCTCATACTGGAATAAATGTTGGGACACAGAGTCCAATGGCACCTTTAAGCAGGGCTCTTTTGTAGCAGGAGCTCCTTTGCATATTAGGCCACACACCCCTAATGTAGCCAATCCTGTAAGAGCTTACAGTAGCCCCTGTAAGAAGAGCTCTGTAAGCTCTTGGATGATTGGCTACATTAGGGTGTGTGTCGCCTAATATGGTACAAAAAGAGCCCTGCTTTAAGAACAACAAACTTTTACTCAAGGTGTGAGCTTTCATGTGCAGGCACACTTCGTCAGATGTTGAAAGGGAATTACATATCATTTTGCATGCTATCTTGCATGCGAATTGAACAAACCACTCCTATATAGACAACTACTTTGTTGGTCTTAAAGGTGCCATTGGACTGTAACTTTGTTCTATTGCTTCAGACCAACACAGCTACCTACCTTGGAATAAATGTTGTTAGTCTTTAAGATAGCACTGGACTTCTCTTTTGTTTTGCTACAACAGACTAACACAGCTACGCCACTGGAATTATCGGAAGGAAACTAGAGATGTAAAATTCCCGGAAATTTTGAAGCTCGGGAAAAATACCGGTTTTTTTTTGGGGGGGGGGACGGAATTTTTTGGAAAAATTGAAAAAAAATGTTACATTAGCATTTCTTTTGTCTTTTCTAGATTGAAAGTCATTCCGTTACTTTAGGAACATAAAATATGACTATGGACATTTTTACTTGGCATGAAATTATCACAACTAAGCATATTAAAAATATAGTGTATCCAAACAATTATTACAAACAGAATACCCACCCACATGCAAAAACAAAACTGAAACCTTTTTATTTTCTTCTGACAATCGCACCTCCTAAAGGAAGAAATGCATCTTGTTCTTGCATTGGAGAGTTCAGTTTGTAACCTAGGACTTGCTTGTCCTCAGTGCACAGAAATTAGATCAATCTGATACCATACGTATTTTTTAGAAATGATTTGGAAAATACTCTTTCCAGGTCTCTGTCTGGCCCCAAGGTGTGGGCAAGCATGGAGTAGTGGGAGAGATGTTTCCTCCCATCCCCAGGGGCCACCTCAAATTCCTCAGGGACTTGACACGAAGATGTGCCCAGAGCAGGACTTAATTCATAAACGTTCATCTGTAGCTGGCGGCCTTGTTTTGCAGCGATCTAAAGAAAGAGCCTGCTATAAAGGTCACTTTTCACACTCTCTTGCCTCTCTCAAGAGCCACTCAGGAAACTTCCTTATGCAAGGCACTCCCTAACACTGAAGGCAACATAACACAGTTGCTGCCAAGTGGAAAGTCAGAATTTACGACAACAACAAAAATCCCTCAAGAAGCGAGGGCAGGTGCTCTGAAGAAGAGCCTGAATCTGAGACCATGCAATCATGCCCGTCTCATATCAGTAAATGGGCAGCAAGGCAACTGCAGAAAACTAAACCACAGCAGCTGAGTCAGGAAATGAGCCACAAGAAAAGAGAAATCAAATCCAGGTGACTTTCAGAAGGAAAAGGCAGAACCAGGTCAAGCTGTCCCTCTGCCAGCATGGGGCAGCAAATCTCTTGGCAGAAGACCTGAAAAGTCAGCAACTCTTTCATCGGCCTGACACCGTTTTTTCAGCCTTAGTTCCACCCCCAGGAACTGGGGAAAGTCATATGGTCCTGGGCAGGCTTTTTGAGAGCACAAACACAATGAAACTAAACTGTCCTCTGTACATTAGAAGTGGCATCATTCAGACAAGCCTGAAATTGATACAAAGCATAACGAACCAGCATAGGGAGATAGCAAAAGGTGACATGATCAAAGTGACGGAAGAGAACAAGGAGTCTACCAGAAGTGTTTGGAACCAGGTGGACTGCAATAAGGGACCTCTTCCCACAAGGTGACCAGGGGGTGGACAAGCATCCCTAACAGTATGGCATCATTACACAAGAATTTCACACCCCTTTGGAATGCACCGGTGCATGTTCAAGTAACTCATTTTACCAGTTCTGAAGCACCGTTAACAGGAAGTCAAAAGGGTCATCTCCTCAAGTGTGTGTGTAATATTACAGGAACAGCTCTGCCAAGACTTAACATGACTAGAAGAAGGGATCCCTCAGTCTGAAAGGTGTGGGCTATGAATACACCATGGCAGCTTCCCCATCTTGCCCCCATACCAAGTAGCATGCAAGGGACACGACAAGAATTTGTGAACTCTTGGGACAGGCAGAAAAAGCCCAGCAGGAACTCATTAGCATAATAGGCCACACCTAACAGCAAAACCAATTATCATATTAGGCCACACCCCCATGACAGCACAGCTCATTAGCATATTAGGCCACACACACACACCCGTTACCAGAAGTGTGGTCATCCAGTCACACCCATCGTTTGCTTCTTATTCTGTTTATCTTGTTTGTTGTCCAGGGCCTTTTTTGTAGCAGGAACTCCTTTGCATGTTAGGCCACACACCCCTAATGTAGCCAATCCTAATGAGTTTCTGCTGTTGGGTGTGGCCTATTATGCTAATGAGTTCCTGCTGGGCATGGCTAACTTGGGAGCCAGCCAGAACTCCGTTCCTGTGCGTTCCTGCCCAAAAATAGCCCTGGCCGGACAGGTCATACCAACTGCAACAGCACACCACACCACAACACACAGGTGTGTGACAGGCAACACCAGCAAACCAAGCGTCCCAGCTCCCCCGGCCCTCCACCCCACTTCCGGTCTGAAATCCAGGCAGCTCTGAAACCCTTGCAGAGAGAGGCTGGGACCAGGCCCACCCCCCTTCGCCTCAGAGAGGGGGTCTTCAGAACAACAGCCGTGGGAAGGGGCAACCCCAAGAGGTGCTGGAGGAAAAGAGCCCCACAGGTTCTCCACTCCCAGTACTGTGGCGCGGTAGTGCTCCGAAATGGGCCAAAGACGTTACCTTCAGAGCTTCTTCATATTCCTCTGGAAAAAAAGGAGCAGAAACAAGACAAACACCATGAGTAAGCACCCCCAGATCAACAATCACATGGAAAGGCACTCTGGGACATTTTATGACCTGTACTCAGGGCCAGCTGAACTAACCTCACGCTCGACAAACATTTGTGTAAACAAGCTTGTCTTGTGCCAGCAAATTAAATCCCTCTTCCCCAAGCCTGAAGGTTGTTCAATCACACAAAGAGGAAATGCCAGCATTCCATTCCCTTCACGGACTCTCTTGCCCCGGGGCGAGAACTGCTGCTTTCAGGAGAAACAGGCCATGCCCTGAGCCTTAACTGAGTATATTATAAAAACATCTCTCTTCCAGAAACGTTTGCAGTGGTCACGGAATTCTGGGTCACAGAACAGCTAGGTACCTGCTATGAAAACATTCTAGCAACATTTATACCCTCGTGAGAGAGTCAGAGACCCACAAACGTTAAGAACAGCCAATTCTTATGCCTCACTAACTCAAGCCCAGACATAATGAAACACTGTAAGGCTGTTAGCTGGCTGGGGGGAAAAATACCTGGCTGCCAGAGGCTCGTCACCTGGAAGCCACACACCCCACCCCCAACTGACTGTGCAGCCACAATGCCTGGAAATGTTCACCTGCATTAGTTCTGTGCCAGCAAAAAAAAAAAAAGGGACCACATTTCATTGAGGGGGAAGGAATGTCTGTTTGGCTTTACAAGACTCTGCATGAGGCTTTGGCACTGGGGTGGATGGCAGGCAAACTACATTGGTGGGGGAGCAGAGGCCTAAAGTAGGAGAGGATCTGAGAGAGGGGGTGGGTGGAGGATGGAGAGGCAGGCTGAAAAAACAAAAAAAAAGGGGAAGCTGGTGGAGAAGAGGAAGACCATTTCACACTTTGACCACAGGTCAGTAGAGCAGTGACGTAACTGGAATTCAGAAGTCCCACAGACAAAACCACCTGTCCTGCTTGAGAAGGAGAAGAATACTGGGACACCCCCCCTCACTGGCTATAGTCCCACCTTGTACAGAGCTGTAGAGCAGTGACGTAATTGGAATTCAGAAGTCCCACAGACAAACCACCTGTCCTGCTTGGGAAGGAGAATAATACTGGGACACCCCCCCTCACTGGCTATAGTCCCACCTTGTACAGAGCAACTGAGGCATGTGCTCCTGTGCATAGAAAGTGGATGCTGTGTAAAGACAGAAGGCACTTGGCTCTTGGGCTTCTCCTATTAGAATACCTACGGCTGCTGCCTTTGTTTGAGGGAAGGCGACACAGAGCCCTCAGGAAACTCACCTGCGCTGTTGACCGACACCTGTGAAAAGAAACCAGAAATAAGTGCGAGTCCCTTTGCTTTTCCCCACTTATTGTTTTTTACTTCTTTAAAACATTTTATGCTGCCTTTCCACCCAACTTTGGGTCCCCAACGATCAAAAGCATGAAAACAAATGCTGAGTATTTCCAAAGGAGAAAAAAAGCAGTTGTCAAGCAGTGTTCCCTCTAAGCTGAGTTAGTGTGAGCTAGCTCACAGTTTTTTAGCCTCCAGCTCACAAATTTTTGTCTCCGCTCAGGAAGGGGGGCTCCAGAGCAAACTAATTTATGCAGTAGCCAAATCACTTGCTCACAACTTTAATGCCAGTAGCTCACAAAGTAGAATTTTTGCTCACAAGACTCCACAGCTTAGAGGAAACATTGTTGTCAAGCACTGTTCTGTCATGTAACAGTAACCCAATTAAGGGACCAGTCAATCTTCCTGTATCCACTTTGCAGACTGAGGAGAGTGTCGCATGCCCTGGTACATAAATAACTTAGGGAAGTGTTCCGTAAGTCAAAAGCTTATGTTCTTCACTAGCTAATCCAAAGAAGGACATATTATATCACCTGTTACATGCGTTTAAAATTCTAGGCTCTCACACTGGCTGTGAGAGAGCAATTGCTGCCTAGGCACGTGTGTGTCTATGTCTTCCTCCTTCTTGAATTCTCTAAAGCAAGAGGTTAAACACTTTAACCCAAATACTCAGTCTCTCATTTAATTATGCATTCAGTGTTGGGGGGCAGGGGGGGGATTTCAGAGCCCCAAAATACTTGAAAAGAGAGCTAGCAACTTCTGGAAACAAGTCAGTAGCCCACCTCTCTTATTTTGAACGAGGAGACAAGGATTGTTGCTAGGAAGGAATGGATTCCTGCACCTCTGTCCGATTTAGGGTCTGACCTCTCTCCTCCCCAAGGGATTTATCTCAAGACCTTCCGTTGAGGCTCACAAACTTTAGCAGAGCAGAGAGGGAATGGTCTCCTGTTCCCTTCCCCCAGCATTTTAATTCATTCCCCCTCCCAGTGTCTTCGGAAACTGTGAACACTAAGAATTTCTCTCCCCCCTTAGTGGCACAGGAATGCACTTCTGCAGTCGGGCAGTTGTGTGATATTGGCAACACGCACCCTTGAACCTTAGTGAAATCATGGGACCACAGCGACCAAGGCCTACACATTATGAGATTGCATAATGGTGCTCTTGTGACACTTACAGAAAAAGAAGAGGAGATTCGATTTATACCTCGCCCTTCACTACCCAAAGGATGCTCAGAGCGGCTTACAATCTCCTTTCCCTCCCCCTCCCCACAACAGACACCCTGTGAGGTAGGTGGGGCTGAGAGAGCTCTTAAGAACATAAGAAATGCCAATGTTGGATCAGGCCAAAGGCCCATCCAGTCCAACACTCTGTGTCACACAGTGGCCAGAAATAACAGTGCCATCAGGAGGTCCACCAGTGGGGCCAGGACACTAGAAGCCCTCCCACTGTTGCTCCCCCCCCCAAGCACCAAGAATAAACAGCATCCCTTGCCCCAGACCGAGAGTTCCTGTCTATGCCTTGTGGCTAATAGCCACTGATGGACTCTTCAAGAATGGCTCTCTTCGAGAATGGCTCTCTTCGAGAATGGCTCTCTTCGAGAATGGCTCTGAATGAACTTGCAACTGACCCAAGGTCACACCAGCAGCTGCACGTGGAGGAGTGGGGAATCAAGCCCGGTTCTCCCAGATTAGAGTCCACACTCCTAACCACTACACCAAACTGGCTCTAAATGCCAGCACTGCCTCCCATAGCACAGGCCTGTACTCTGGTGAGTAGTTCTAGCACCTGAAGACACTTCTGCAAGTACCAGGATTGCCTGTTAGGGTCCAATGCCAAATTGAGAAACTGCAACCCAAATTTAACTGGACTGCTAACTGGAATGCGAATCACATGGAATGCGATTTGATCTGAGGCAAGTTAATGCAGCTGTAAAAAAAATACGTTCTACCAGCTCAGCCGAACCTGTCTGTAAGATGGCCCCTTCCCTTGATACGGCTGACCTGGCCACCTGGATCTACGCCACAGTCACATCGAGACAAAGCTACTGTCGTGCACTGTACGTTGGTCTCCCCTCAAAATCAACTCGGGAACTCCAGCTGGGTCAGAATACTGCAGCTCGGCTATTAGTGGGAGCCAGACGGAGCGTGCCTCTTACGTTTAAGATGTTAACGATCCTATACAAAGGCTTTTGTGGCCTCGGACCCTCTTATTTGTGGGACTGCCTCTCCCCCTATGGCCCACCATGACAACGTCACTCGTGTCAGCAGGCGCTTCTGCGTGTGCCAGCCTGCAAATGGGCAAAAATCAACTGTCCGCACATGTGCTTTCTCCATCGTGGCTCCCAGCTTATGAAACGGCTGGCCTGAGGGGGGTCAGGAGGGCTCCCCCTCTCTTGAATTTCCACAAACTAGGCAAAACTGAACTATTTTCTGCACAGGTAATAAGGTTACACTGTACAAAATGGTTAACAAACTTAGCCAGTCTGGTGTAGTGGTTGATTGTACTGACTCACTACGCGTAATGTAGTGAGTTGACTGTACTGACTCACTACGCGTAATGACTGTACTGACTCACTACGCGTAATCCACCTTGAGTCCCTGTGAGAAAGGTGGATGGTAAATAACATAAATAAAATTTAAAAGTCACAGGGGTCTGCGGCATTTGTGAAATCTGATCAGATGTCAAAATCTTTCCTGTGCGTCTGGTGGGTGACAGTTACACAGTAACTTGTAAATAATCCAGCACAAAAACAAAAACTGGAATTCCTTGTAGACCAGGACTTAAATGATTAGAAACTGTAGTCTATACTGCTACGTACAGTTATTATAAGTATGTTCCTATTATGTAATTTTTGTACCACTTAATGTGTCATATTAATAATTATACTATATTTCAGTTCTTTCTGGTGGTTTTGGGCTTCTAAAATACTAATGCATGGGTTACTGAATGTCCCATTCGGTTGACTGTACTGACTCACTACGCGTAATCC